GAAAAATAAGTTTCATCTGTACAATAAAATAAACTGTGTTAATCGTGTTCAATACTCAAATCATTATACTTCTTTTTACCGCCCAGAAACATTCGTGATTATTATTATAGATTAAAATAAACATGTCTTCGTGTCCAATTGGCTTATTCTACACACATTTGGGGGAAAAAAAAATTGAAATATCAATATTATATTGAATCTCATTACTAATTCACAAAAACTCTATACCGCTCGAGAGACAATTTTAGTTTCTGTTCACAACCCAATAACACATAATACATGAAATTATTTAGGATTAAAATATATCATCACGATGAGTTTCTGAATATTATTCAAGCGTTCGAAGTTTTACTGTTTTTAAGTATGATTCGTATCTTGGGAAAAAATCCAGTACGATGTAAAAACAACGATTGAACCTTATGCTAAAATAACAATCATTGATAATCAATGTCTTTGTAATTAATACACATACTGAATTAAATTTTCGATGGTTAAACTTTTGAAAAATAGACGTTTCATCTATTTTTTAAAATAAATACACAGTTTATACTTTCGAGATTTTAAGATTTTCGATTTTTTAAAAAACAATTGGTTGTTTTATAGATTTTTATTAAAAACACTGTTATCGTCAAACTTTCATGAAATTTACTCAAAAAATACTTATAAATATTTGCTGAAAATTTATCGATTTAATTTATCTATTAGTTTTTTTTTTATATTTTGATTTTTATCAATAAAGAAAATATTATGATTAAAGGAGTTTGAATTAACATTGTTTAATACATATACTATAAATATATGTATATTACTGTTAAAATCCGAAATTCTTCAAAACTAGTTTTAACCATAAATTCAATTTTGTTAGTAATTTAAAAAATATAATTTTTTAACAATAGTCTATCAAAAATAAATATTATTATTTTTTATTTGTTTTGACAAGACAAATTATCATGGAATTTAGTTATACAGCGTTTATCGTATTATAATTTATAAAAATAAATTAAGAAAACTTCGACCGGTTTGAGATCAAAAATCGACTATCATACAATATACCTAACAATGGTATGAATATAAAATCCTATAATGACTAAATATCTTGTTTCAAAAATTCATGTGGAATAAATCGCTCCTTTTGTAAAAAAAATATTTTATATAACTTTAAATGTCACAATAGTTTTCATTGTCAACACAAATAATAAAAATTATACTTATTTCGAATTTACTTTCTATACAAAATTATATTTAAAAACTAGTAACAACAATTTAAGTCCTGGTTAATTCTATAGTTTAACTATTTAAAATTAGTTTTAACGAATTTCGGGTTTTAACTGTTAAGTATATATATATATACACGTTAGTTATATATGTATACGTTATATATGTTTATATTTATGTACGTTCAGTTTTTAATTAAATAAACATTTTCTTAATTTCTTTTTTCATTAGATGTGTTCATTATTATTTTTTTATTTATATTGAATATTTTATCAAATACAAAACATATGCCGTCTATAATGATTCGTATACGATTGAAATGTGTAAAATATATTTAAGAAATTTTACTAAATTTGGTGTACAGATATTTCTGTACATGATTCTGATTAAACGGAAACACGTTGATTTAGTGAAAACACATTAAAGGTCTGAACTTCGAATGTTTTAGAACAATAAAACTGTTTTACCATCGAAAATCAAAAAAGCGGTCAAATCATATTTTGTAAGCAAAGAGAATATAATTAAATAGAGAAGAATTACCATGGAAATTCATAAACACATAAAAGGCTTTTGCAGTGAGGCACCGTATGTAATGTATACCATCGAGAGGCAATAAAATGGTTGAATCATATTTTGTAAGTTAAGAGAATATAATTAAATAGTAGAAAATTACCATGGAAATTAATAAACACATAAAAGGCTTTTGCAGTGAGGAACCGTGCGTGAACCGATGTGGGCGCGAAAATTGCCAAAAACATAATACGTCCACGCTATTCTTCACTAAACGAATTTATGATAAAGCTTTATACGTAGTATACCGTTTTGTTTCGTGGTTGTTATGAAACTCTTTTAATTTTATAACGTCCTTGCCAAAATGTTGAATAATATGGATTATTAAAGGTCGGAGGAGTGTATAGATATAAAAAATTTAAAAAGAATAAAATAAAAATATGAAAAATCTGATATAAAAACCTATAGAGAAGGAATTGATACAGAAAGAATTATCGTCTCGATGAAAATGTTCAGATACGTATCCGTATGAATGTCGGGAAAAAAGAAAAAAATGAAATACGTGGAAAGCGGTCAAGAGACTAAAAGTGCTAATGATGATAGCAAAAAGAATGTTACAACATGATTGCATTTCTGTTCATCGATGAAAAAAACGAGCGATGGCAAATAATGTATTCTGTTAATGAGTTATAGATGATGGTTTCGAACAATGGTGTAGAAAAAATAACTGGTTAGAATACACAATGACACAGAAAATAAAAATAAAAATAGAATGAAATGAATCAAAAATATTTTCTCCTGCGAAAATCCTTAATTTAAATAACAAAGATTCTTTCGCTGCTTACTGCATCTACATAGGAATGCCACCTTTAGGAAAAGCTTTAAAAAAAAGACATATAATGTCATCCGGTGAAGAGAAAATAACATAATCCAATAAATTATTTTGTACTGTTTTCATAGCCGTATTTTCCGAGATTCATCTCTACAGCATGATATCGGTATCCCGACAAATAAAATTATTTATATTCGACCGTATTCGCAAAACGATCATACTGTTAAAAAGTTATATGGTCTTTTATCTGAACGATTCTCACGAACGTCGTGATACGAATTCAATACGTAAAAAAATGGTTTTTTCTACCGCGGGAAGACGTTTCCTATACGCACAGAGTGTGTGAACAATCTTTATGTTGTCCTCCCGAACTTCGGGCACATTAAGCCAAAAATAACTAAAAACTCCATATTTTATTTTTTTGCCATATTTGTGAATATATTTATAACTATGATAAAGTTTTTCGAAAAATTGTCCTTGAATTTAACATATAAATGATTGGATAAGGTTGATACAGTATTTCAGAGAGGATATTTTCAATACTATTCTGTGATAGTCAATCTGATACATGATTCTAATGACGAATTGTCGGCACGGTTTCTGAATTTAAAATTTACTAAATTTATTGTAAAAAATGATGATTCATAAATATACGTGCTTTATGTAATAGAAACATTCTAAAAAAAATATAATGTAGTGTTGGGATTTTTTGCTTACGGACGGTTTCCAAGGAAACAAATTGAATTTGATTGAATAACGTAGTTCGTTTGCAGATCACATAATTTCATTTGAAAATCGGGATGTTGTATCGAGATATAAATTGTCATTAAGTTGATGAATAATTCAAATTTAGATTTCAATATATCAAAATATTTAAATCGTGAATGAAGTATCGTTATTTTTTCATCAACTTTTAAATGATTCTATACTTTTTCAAAGACTTTTAGTAATACTATGAAGCTAACATTGATTTTGTCTTCTGAATTATAGTTTTCAATTTAAAATATTTAAATGAGATGTTAAATCAGTGAATAAAGAAAAGATACTTAAAGAATGTTATACATTGTAAATCTTCGTATAAATGATGTCTAATATTTTTAGTTTTAAGAAACGCCTGCACTCTATACTTTATTTCTCAACATAGAAAAGGATTTCAAACAATTTCCAATATATTATTTCCAAGCTATCTTACTTAAAAGCGTCATGGAATATCGCCAAACTCTTTATTCATTACTTCTGAAAACGTAATAAATGCTCTGTCTTAATGGTTTCAAACCAACCTGACTTGGATCAATAGTCACCGACAAGTTTTTGAAAAAATGTACCGAATAAAAACACTAAATACTATTCAGTCCAGCGAACGGTGATAGGAACTAACATGCTTATATAATAGGCTTTAAATAATTAAAAGTTTCTTTTACGGAACGTTTCGTGAATCTAAACAAATTAGCTCTGGCAGGGTCAGCGTGAAGTTAGAAACATTAAATCGCTGGTAAAGTTATTGCAAAATACTTTTTCTACATTTTATTCCTTCGTTTATACCCACAGAAACGTGCTCGACAACCGTAACCACTATTTTCACGACATGTTCTACCATTTCTTTTACAGTGCACCATCGTAATCTGTTCGTTTCATAGAGAAATTTTGCTAACTGATAAGGTATCAAGAATAATAATATTTTCGTTCGAAACCCGGCCACGGTTAAGCAATGGATTCCGTATCATTAATATCAATATTTGGGTCGTCCGATGAAGTGATCACGAATGCACCGATTTAGTATTTACATTTTCATTATTATCGAGTCCGTTCGCCAATGCATTTGTGTCCTTAAATTGCCTATACGTAGCGCCGTGCTATAATTAATTTTCCAACATTTCCGGGTTTAAGTGAACGCAAAGTTCCACGAACACGGCGGGCATATCATATTATTGCTTGTTAGTGCGTATGTAACGTGTAAATTATACAATTTCGCATGCGAAACTTGCAAAATGGATCAATAACAATGCCAACACAATCATTTAAATAACAATAATGTAAATCGCACAATTCCGGAACCATCCAGAACAGATGTTTCACGCGGTGAGACCTTTGTGTACTTTAGTCCACATCGAATACGTAGCATTTACCATCACATTTGAAATGATTTATGTGTTATACGTTTATATTCCGATGAATTCGATTTCGACTCCAACGGTAACTACACGGTAACAATGGTTATCATTACAGTTCGTCTTCGTGATAAACCCAATGTTATTCCGAATCTAACTTAAAGTTGATACATTCCACTGGCGCTTAGTGTATACTTTATGTTTTCAAACGATTGATTTGACCGAGGCGCATACTATGGATATTTGTCCGTCGTGTAAGCTCAGATGTTGCAACAACATTTCGTTTAAGATTGTTGTCATTACGCGAACCCAGATATGTTTTGATAAAATCTTACCTTTGGTTTTGATATGGTCGAAATGTTTATCAGCTGTGTTGATCTCGAGTTCCAATGCCTTTACGAACCATCTTTCTCCTCCGAGCGTCTAAACAGTGCAAACAAATTAAAAAATGACATGAAAGTTAACGTAATAATATTTCTCAGATTATTCCAATGGTTATCCATCTCATATGATGTACATGCTTGGCAATACTGGTTTGGCCCTTTATACTACCACGTTTGACGCCATTTCTACGTATTATGCTTCGTGCACTTTAATCATGAATGTGTAATCTCATTATACAGAAAGCTTTATCTTTACTTGCCACTAACATTAGTGCACTAACTTTTTACCCTGTATATTAGTTATGCAAAACCTATTTGCATTTTTAGCTAATAGTTTTATTTAGTTTTTGTTTGGTGTATTATTCTTTAATTTTGTAAAAGAAACACATTTATTAATTTATTTTTATTTTTATTTATAAATCAAAACATTCTTAGCCTATTGTGGATATTTGTGGATAATACAGAAAAATAATTGTGACTGTTTTTAACGCGATGGTTTTAAATATAGTATTACAGTATAATGGTAAACTACCAAGTAATTAAGATTTTTTTTTTTGTACAAATTATAACAAAAAAAAAAAAAAAAAAAAGAAGAAAAAATATATATTTATAGACAGTGATTTAGATATTTTAACTAATGAGGTCAAGTGGGTGGCTATGTTTTAATCGTTTTTGGAGTGGTGAGTGAATATATATATTGTAATGTAGCATGATTGATTATTTTAATACTATGTAGTGAAAATTGTCTAATAAGTTTTATGTATGTATGATTAAAAAATGAGATAATTTGGAAGTCTTTATGAATATTTATATTATGTATGAACCATGGAGCATTTTTGATGATTCTTAATACTTTGTTTTTAGACACTTTTATTTTTGTAAGTGTGTAGCCGAACAATTATCACCTTAGATTGAACACACGTAGGTAATTACTGGAAAAATTAGCTGTTTGTGTAATAAAATCGAACATTGCAAGATAATCATATTTAAACTTAATTAAGAATCATATTTAATATATATATATATATATAATACATAGATATAGATAAACTATCTATATATATGAGTTTCTTATTATATTTATTTTAGAAGTAATCCAGTTTGATTATGTATAAATAATTTCTACTTCAATTCATTGGTAATTTTTATTCACCATCTTATTCGCAGTTTTGTGTAGCATTTACGTTTTCGCAACAATAGTTTTTATTTGTAAGATATGTTTTTATCATAACTCATACACACACTAATTATTTTACTTTGAATCGTTAGGTTTACAACAGTCTTTTAGATTTTTCTATGTTTTCCAATACATTGGTAAAATAATTTTCTTTCTTAAACTAATTTACCACTTATATGCATAGTCACAATGTATGATAAAATACATTAGGGAGCGGGAAACAAAAAGTGTTTACAAAATATTATTTCGAAATTAATTCGTATTTGAAAAGGGCTGAGATAGGTTAGCATATTAGCTACAATGGTTTATTCCTCAAAATCGTAAGTACTTCCATGATCGATTTTAAAATGTTCTATAAATATATACAGTTTACTTTTAAGTTTTTATTATTATTCAATATGTTTAAAATTGATAACTAATATTTATAATAAATGTATATTGATAAATGTACAGCAAAATGTAGTTTGCCTAAAAGAGCTAACGATTTATAAAAAGGTCGTGCTCCATAATTATCAAATCATATTTTATGTTATAAATAAAAAAAATTTAAATGAATAAGAATTTAAAACTTTTATTCTTAGATAAAAGTTTAAACAAATAATCATTATTATTTTATGAGCTGATAATCAAAACAAATGTTGAATCCAATAAATATTGTATTACGTACAATTCTCTGATCGTTTTCCTTGATTATAACAAGTGTAATATACATTTAAATATTCACATTTTATGAATTCCAATGAATAAATAAATCTGTTAAAATATTCTTTTAACAAGTATTATTTAAAACAAAACACTGTAGTTAGACTTATAATTTTTTTCAGACATGAAAAATTAAAAAAAAAATTATATTTAAACAAAAATCAAATCTTAAAATAGTGTAATTCGACGTATTTATACAATATTAGAATGAACTAATTGTGCAGCGATATAATTATTATTGTTTAGAATGCTAAAATTGAGAAGATAATATTCCAGAGTGGTTTTCGTCCAATGGTATTTTTACAACATAAATGAATTTTAATAGACTTATTCAATAGAAAGTTTTGGAAGCACGTGCGAAAATACAAGCATATTACATACGAATGGAAATAAAAGTTTACTATGTTATGTACACATTATAAATGTTCTCGAATCAGATATTTCTCGTAACAAATAATCCAATATTTCTGAGTATTTTTCCTGATATGTATCTGTATAATTTGGCGTGAAAATGTATTATGACGCGATGGAAAACTTTCACCGCGGAACAATTTCAAGGATCGGGGCGAGGTTAAAGTTTTATCGGTGTGTGCGACGCATAACGGAAAAAGATTATTACTAACGCATACCTAATAATCACTTTTAGAATAAACATTATGTTCGGATGTATAGTTATAGTACTAATTGTAATGTATTTTTATAATGTCGGTGCGTGATATCCGATAAACGGCGGTTTGAAAATATTTCGACTTATTTGTCATGATGTAAAACGCATAAACGCGGTTGTTTCGATTGTTGATGACCGTTTAAGTTAGTCGACTAATGTGTAATTTACAACTGCGTTACGGATTCATTGCGCGTAGATAAATTCACTCTAATAACACTGTCTAGCATAATGGCTCACACAAATACCTATTAAATCCGTAAACCGTCGCAAGTATCAGTACTGACGAATCAATCCTACGTACATCGAAAACGTAACAGAACTATATCAACAGTACAACACATTTTTTACAGTAAAATTTTGATGAAATTAATGGTTCGAATTCGATTTCATGATGTGACGATCATTGAATCTCATAAAATATTGATGCTCATAATTGGTTAAGATCCACCACAATCAATTATCTCTGTTGGCGGTTACGGTAAATCAAATTGCGTTTGCGATGCAAACTTCAAAAAAGAAATCAAATGAATCGTTTAGAAATTTACAGTTATATAACTTGTCTATTTTGAAATAAACGTATGAAATTTATCATTTCCAATTGATATGCTTTGATATAAAAAATTAACCGTTGAATTAGACTCAAATTGTTTTGAACTTTGTTTAAATATTTTAAACGAACCAAGATAATTTTTACAGGGTTCCTTGAATTATTAGGTAAGCATTTATTTTTTCTTTACACATTTTAATAAATAATATTGTGTATACATTTTCATAGGTCTTCACTTGTATAAAATATAAGTTACTGATGGTTAATTATTTAACTATTATGATAATTATATGAAATAGATAAGGAATCGTGAGGCATGCGTAATGATGTTAAATAATATTTCGTACCTTTGTAAAATACCAAGTAAATACAAAATTCTTCCATTTTAGTATTAAGGTTGCGTCATCTTCATTACTACAGTCTCCACTTACGTCTGCATCGTCTGGCACATAGAGATCAGTTTGCTGCGAACACAATGTACAATAATTATATATTTAATATAGAATCAAACTAATAGTGTTTGAAGCTTACGTCTTCGGAACCCAATTTGGTTTTGAATTTTACTTCAATAACAGCGTCTACCCTCAGTAGAATACACGTATTGCCTTCTTCCTCATTCAGTCGAAAAAGAGATGCAACTATATTACTCGGTTGAGTTGCTTTAAAAATAAAAACAAAATAAACACGTATATTGATAATTTATAATTTTAAATAAATTCATCATAAAATATCAAATTAATTTAACGCACTCATACATCGGCATTATTCACGATACGGATACTTAGAAATAAATCATAAAAATGCTGCAATTTAAATAGTAGTTAAAATAGTATGCAATTTATTTATTTATGCTATAAATGTGTTGCAAGAACAACTAAGATAATTATTATAGTGATATTAAAATGTATTTATATTTTTAAATTTATATTTTACAGTTATTTTATTGTTATATCGCATAATGATATTCATTATTAATCATAGATAAAATTATACGATGTAGCAATAATTATTTCTAAGTTAACAGTTTACAATCGTTTTGAATTATAAATCTATTAGATTTCCCGCTAATTTTTTTTCGTATAAAAAATAATGTATATTATGATATAATAATATAAAATAAAGTCCCTTACTTGTTGTTGTGTCAGCTTTGTTAAACGGTACAGCACTTTTTCGGATCGATCTCTGAGTTTCGTCGTCTGCATTCAAGACGGGATCTATGAAGCTTTCGTCCGGTAAACGTTTCTTAAGCGTAAACGTAAAAGAAATAAAAATAAAAATAATGCATTTAACATGATGTGATGTAACTCAACATTTTGTAAAATTAATCCCAACAACAATGTCACATATTATTTTTTAAAACTGTATGACTTTACTAGAGAGGTTTAGGCTCCAGTTTCATGATCCCCTTTCCCGACCGCCATTTCGAAATGTATATTCGAATGGCTGTAGAAATATACAACCCCAAGAGAATTTTAGTGAGGTCACGTTTTCTAAGATCTTGTATACCTCGAAGGTACCGCAGATAAATCCAAGAGTAGAACACATCGAATTTCTTTCATTACGTATTAATGTATTATATTTTACTACATAGTAACAAATATTTGACCTTCGAAATTAAGTAAATTTTATTCAATTTTTTTTGTATCCCTAGATTCACTGTAATCAAATACATTTTTATTTGTATAATATTAATATTATATTTATAAATAGTATCATTAAATTCAAACTTAAAACCTATTCATAAGTTAAATGGAAATCAGTTTATATAACTTACATTAAATCCGATAAAAAAAGATTTAAAAACTAGTAAAAAATTTAAATTTTACATGATAATTCACAATGTATTTTACATTATGCATTTTCTTAATATTTAATTAACTTGAATTAATCTAAATAACAATGAGAGCGGAATAATTAAAATGTCCATGACATTTTTAATCCCTATGGATTACGCTGGTATTATTATTTATTTCTAGAATATCAATACGATTTCGTTATGCATCTTATTGTTTCATATAGTGCAATTTTCTTATATTTCTTTGCCACTTACAAGTTATTCAAGTAACTAATTTTAATAAAATACATAAAAGACGCAGATGTTGGTGACTGGTGTATGCACACTTATTTGTTCAATATTTAAAAATTATTAAAATTTTCAATTTTGTTGAACATAACTATATTTATAATATCTTATGCATTTCTCATGCATTAATTACGATACCACTGGTAGAAAAACCCTAGTGTAATCGATAAAATATAAATTTTAAGTACACTTATTGTGTTATTGTTTACGGTTTTAATTATGTTAACTTTTTTTTTTTATAAACTAAATCATGGTCAGCAAACGGTACTGACAAAATACAAATGTATGTCAGAATATGCAGTTTTTTATTAAAAAGATTATTTTTAAAGAATTTACATACAAAATAGATCAATTAACGATGAATGTAAATTTTAAATGAAAACAATCTTTTGTTCCTGACAATATTTTTGAAATCATTATTAACACAACGGAGAAATATAAAATATCCATAACCTGGAAACTTGAAAATGTATTTAGTATATTTCTGATGCATTGAATTTCGCAGTCCATATGAACTCTAAAATTATTTTAAGTCGTTCAAAATTAGTTTAAAAAATAATCTTTTTTATTTTTATTTTTTATTTTTTTTTTACACTTTTTATTAAAAGTTCTAGTTCTTTCATTTAACCAACAGAAATATACATTATTTTTAAAATATGATCCCAAAGAAAAAAAAAATAGTTTCAAAGTAAAAAACATTAATTTAATTTGGAAATTTCTGTATCTACGATAATATAAACTATATCAAGTTTAATTTTTCAACAAAAGTTAGCTAATGCATAATTATACAGCATAATTAGCTGTATAACAAAAAACTTTATGCATTTATTCATTTTTATATAATAGTTCAGCCTAATATCTCATGAAATAATTTTAAAAAGTACTTACTGGTTTTTGAAATGGAGAAATGGGAGAACGTTTTATTGAATTATTTTGTTCATCATATTGTAAGGCATAAACTGGAGTGATAAAAAAATGGTCAAATACCATGATTGCTAGAACATAAAATAATACATACAATAAATTTATTAGACATACAACGCATAATATATCAATCATTCAGTATTTTCTTTAGTAGTGTCTTTTTAAAACCATTAATACTTTTAAATTTTCGATTGTTAACCAAAATTCTAATTCATTATACTTAATTGATTTAAATATATTTGGAGGTAGAAAATGTATTATTTTGTGTTTAAATTTACTAATAAATAAATTATACTCATCTAAAGTAAGAATCTAAGAAATTAATATCTGAATCTGAGAAAGAATGAAATTCATAATTAATTATTTATTTTATTTGTCTACTGATATACATTTGAAAAAAAAAAGTAAATTATTTTTCAATTTCATTTTTTTTTTTTAATTATAAAATAAGTATATAGTGGAATTTTTAACTGTAGAATTGTTTATTTTAAATGTAAAATAAAAACTTACAGTAAATACATTTTGAACAAATTGAAATGCATTCTACTGATTTCTGTAATAATTCTAAATAAGATCACATCATTCTATACACAATTTTATTATCATATTACCAATAGTTTTATACGAATTATAAAGTGGGTTTAGAATACTGTGATAATTCAATAAAGCTAACTATTGTCTATAGTTAGTGGCATAGGTAAGAAAGGGGTTTGGAGTTTCAATCTTTCCCCATTGCTAAAACTCAGCTAGCTAATAAATAGGTAATAATAAAAATAGTTATTATCTATATATCAATCCCCCATATATAACCTTTACCTATGCCCTTTTCTACGGCGAAGTACGTGGAATATAATGCTTCCGAGATCAACAATTTTTTTGGGCATTTGAGAATATTTAAAAATTTTTATAAATATTAAGCTACAGAAAACTTATAATAATTTATTTAAATATTTAATGGTAAAATAACAAAGATTATTTTACTGATTTTTTTGTTTGTTTGTCAACTTGTTAAGTTAATATCCAAAAAAATAAATAAAATTTAATTAAAATTTGTCTTATAATTTTTATTTTGATATAATATAAAAGTAAAAATACTTTTGATTAATTCAATGAATTTAATTAAAATTAAAATATGACATTCATTAAACAACGTTGCAAAATATTAACCAAATAATTTTTTTAAGTTTGAGCCGGATTTGTGATATTATTATAAAGTGCTCAATATTACAAACTATATCGTACCAATGAAATGATTTATGTAATATCATAATTTTTTTTTTTTTTATATACCAATTATATCAATTTAAATAAAGTAAATATTTGTTATTATTAAATAATAATTGTATTTAAAAACTGTCCATAAAACTCTTTATTCAGTAAATAACTAACAATCAACAATAAACAACTGTTCAATAGATACTGACAATAGTATTGCTGAATATTCTATTTAGTTAAGTTATTAATTATTTAGTTAAGTATTAAGTTTTTTTGAGTATAATGCTGATAGTCACATAGAAACCTATTATAACCCAAATTGGAAAATCAATGATAATATTGGTTTTTAAATTAATTTACAGTGGTTTCACAAAATAGACTTGATATTAATAACAAAAACGGTACCTTTTATGAAATTAAAAGTTAGTATAATAAAAAAATGATAGCTTATCACTTAATTTAATTTAAAAGGGCTATATAATTTATTCTTAATTTTTAATGTCATGCTTTGTAAACGTGTGCGTATGTGTCTTTTTATTTTAAATTTTTTATTTGCTTATAACATTCATAAAATGAATAAAGCGTTTTGGAAATAAAACTTTTTATTTATACTTACACATATCTTTTTTTTTACATTTTCAGTTTGCAATAAAAATATTTTAATGTAGTTTTGACTTTTTTATGATAAGAAAAGTGCTAAGTTGTAAAAAATAAATAAATAAAAACGATCTTATATTGACATGGAGAAAAGAAAATATGATTATATAAAATAACAATGCATGCAATAAAATATTCCGAGGAATTTATTTAAATGTATGAATAAATAGATGATTAGAAATTCAATCCAATAAAAAATATTGTTTTGATTCAGAACAGTATGATAATAACTGAAAATTATAATTCAAAAAGAGACTGACGATATTCTGTATTTATTTTTTTTTTTTTAGTATATTTACATTCACTTCATGGATAGTTAATTATGACATCCAAGCTGAAAGTATGTATAACACTTTGGACGGTCCAAAAGTTCAGTAAAATATATAAGTTAAACATTTAAATTACAAATCAGTATTTTTGCTAACAAAACGGACATTAAATTTATTTTCCCTTATCAAATTTTATAACGGGCTATTATACAATTAGTAGTTCAAAGGTAATTGAAATATTAATCTCTTGTTGTATGAATATAAACGAACTACTTTCTTATTTTTTTTTATTGGCTCTCAGAAAGTTGAAGATAACTCGATAGTTAATAATTATAAATTATAAAATAAGAAATATAAAACACTTATTTATGAAAATGATTTATTTCTTTATTTATTTATTTTTTTGATAATATTTTCAATATGAACTAAAATGTATAGAAGTAAATTGTGAAACAATTGTTGAAATCTTCATTATACAAATTATGAGAATTATAAATTTGAAATAATTTTTAATTTATATTTTATAAATCTATGTAGAGTGTTGTATAAAGTTTTTGAAATAAGTAAGGTGCTGTATGCAATTTTTTTTCAAAACTACCCTTATTTCTAAAATATACCATATTAAAAGAGCATTTTCAATCATACAAAAATTGTGAAATTTATTTTAAGGACAAAAATACATATTAAAATGAACCATCAAATTAACATTTATTTGTAGACAAAATTAATATTAAAAAAGTTAATTAATATATAATTTAATGAAAATGAAAAATATAATATCAATATCCTATGACTGAAAACAGTTTCGAGTATATTATTTCTTATACAGTGCAAATTGTTCAAGACAAAGTCACAAAATATCTTGAAATATATTGTTTTAGATGAGTTTCGTGTTTCATAACCCGCCTGAGGTTGATTTTAATACTAAATATATTAGTAATACTAGTTATTTAGGTTCATAATTGTTTATTTATTTTGATTTTAAAATATAATAAAATAATTAAGTACATTAATAATAATGAATACCTGTACAATTAATTGTGCATAGAAGAATTGTTTTTATAATCTACATAATTATTTATCTTTTTATCATGAGTAGTAGTAATACTGAAGGTAAATTATTAATAATATTATTTGATAAATAATTTAATAATAAACATTTTTGATAATTTTATTTTATTTTGAAAATATTTATCAAGCAATTGAATATTCTATAATAATAGTTATTATCTTTTTGAATTCTTCGTGTAGATATCATAATACGTATATGTAAACCATTTTTCCAAGTTCATTTATGTGTTTTTATTATGGATAAATAATAATAATACCTTATATAATATTGTATAGTCTTACCTGATAAAACATGTGAAACAAAACAATTACACTTGAAATACATATCACATGAATTAAAATAATATCTGATATGAATGGTTTTCGAATATTAAAATACAAAGTTCATTGAGCACTAGTCTAATTTGACAACTTCACCACGTCGATGAACGATTTTTATAATTATAAATTAGAAAGTTGTTTTCTAATAACTCATTTTTGCTCCAAGCACATATCAAATGTTATGGTTTATAATATTTGCTAAGATAGTATTATAATATATTGGTATTTCATGGTAAATTATAGTATATACTCTAGATAAAAATCTGATGTTCTTGCATTAGTGATTAATCTTTTATTGTATTAGTATAAAATTAATCTTTAAATTTTTAAACCTGTATATTCAAACCAGATTATTATACATTTATATATATATATATATATAAAAAAAAAAAACTGTCACATTATAAATAAGTATAGTTATAATATTATTTCCGTAATAATGATTAATAATATTATTATATAGCATTAACACTAATTTTTGACAAACCAAAGCAAAACCTAATAAGACTGCATGCTAAGATGTTTATAGTATATTACATTTTATCGATAAAGGAATTAAAAATAATTTCTCTTTAAATGTAGAACATAAGTGAGTTTATGGGTAAGTGTATTAAAAACTTATAATCACATTTTTCACAAATAATATAATCTTTTTGTACTAAGAAAATGTTGATTTTATCTAATTTAAATATTTCAGTTAATAGCAACTGAAAAAGTTTCCATGCCTTTCGATATGAATATTTTGAACTGGTATTATTTTCTTAAAACACATAAATATCATGGGTAAAATTTCTATAGTTAAGTACCTAAGAATTACTTTTAGGTCCCAATACACTTTTATTTTTATGAGAAATAGGATACCTACTACAAAACATAATATTTCGTTCTACAGGGAAATAATACTAATTATTTATGGATATTATTTTTATCCCAAAAAATAACATTAAAATAGATACAAAAATGACTACGATTAACATTTAATGCTTTTTTTCAATATTTTTTGGAGAATATTTATTAATTTGATTGACATTCTATAATTTATATTATTTTAATTAATTTCACTCAATTCATATTATTATTTGGTAGTTTAGAACAATTATTGTCTAAAGTTAAATCAGATAAAAATATTAAGTGACATTATTCCCAAAATAATAGATCATTTGAAAAATAAAAATATATCTTTTCATTTTATGTATTTTATTTTCAATGAGTAAAGAATAATAAGATTATATATAGTATTAAAGTTTTTCTCAAATATACTATGAAAAAAGAACTTTGTAACACTAAACTTTTCTTTCTTTTCGCTGTATATCGATATTATTTATATTTGCATATAATTCAAAAACAATTATGATTATGACTTTTTAAAATATAAAAATACTAAAATTCTTAGTATACTGAAAATTATTTTTACACAAATTTGTTCTTATAAATGTATAAGAATTATTTTATTTAATTTGTTCATGCATATATTAATAAGCTGTATTTTAAAATCAGTTTTAGAAAATTAAAAAATGTTAAATAAGTAAATGTGTGGTGGTAAAAATTATAAACGTTTATATTGGAACAATTAAAATATTTATATTCTTATAAACTATTAATTTTCATAATTAGTTTTATAATATATCTAATATTAAAATTGAAATGCCAAAAAAAAAAATTATAATAAGATCAGAATAATATAAAAATTACCTGTAAGTTATTAATTATTTTGTCAGAATAACTTAGGTAAATGTATATACATTATACATATATTATATTATTCTCAAAATATAATTGCATATAATTTTTAGATTTTAGATTGATATATCATGTTTAAATGTTAATTGTGATGGTGAAATTGTATTTAAACCTAAATGTAATTGAAATATAATATTTTTTTTTTTTTTTATTGAGGTGGTTAACTACAATGGAGCTTTATTGATTCCGCCGAAACTTCCGGTTTCAAAAAAAACCTATCCATTGATTCCGTCAGTTACTTTTCATAAAAATAGAGCTTTCAAAGATCAAAAAAAAAAAAAAAAATTGTTGATATAGAATTAAATAATACAAATATTTTTACGTTTACGTATTTAAAACATGTTTCTAAATATTACCAAAAGTATTTAATTATTATTAAATCATAACATTACATTATTATTATAAAATTATTTAATTTTTTATTATTATTGCATTTAGGTTAAGTTATATTTGTAGTATATAAGTATATTAAGTATATTTGTATTTATTTATATTTTAGAAAATTGGGTTAATTGATTTTTGTATTTATTATTTTTTCCCTATCAACATAATCATATAAAAATAAGAATCGCCAGAATCGATAGCTGATTTTTATAAACAGTAACCGGCGGAATCAATAACCTATGGAGCTGACACATGATTTTTATGATCAATTGTCGGTAAAATTGATATTAAGATGTTGGAATCAATATTTGTCTAACTATAACGGTTGATTTGTTATTTTTTTTAATGAAATCTATGATAATGTATTAATATCTAAGATAATAACTTATTAAATATATTTATTCTAAAACAAGTTCGAATAGAGATTCGACCTGAAATTATGATTATATAAATTTTTTGACATTTATCGTTTAATTTTTTTTCAACTTTTCAAATTAGTTAAAAAAATTAAAATCTTAAAAATAAAATACATGTATGACTATCAATCAATCTAGAGAAGCTATATGAAACTTGTTGAGCTTTTTTACGGCCCTAAAAAGTGTTTTCCGAAAAAAAACACACCATTGTGAAACAAATAGCTCCTTCATTAATGCTAAGAATCTTAAACGTATACATTTTATTTCGCTGAATCACGTTTAATGTGGCAACATACATATCTACTGTTATAATTGTAACACTTATACAACTAACTATATACTAATTTTTACTAAAAATATTAATAAAAAATGTATTAAAAAAAGCGTAATAAATACTATGACTATGTAAAACGTTCGGGGTTAGTCTATACGGTTGTGAAAGTACTACTAGTGAAGTGTTTAAAAGTTGAAATTCAATTATGCGTCGGAACGAGTGTATTTCTCGGGAAAACATTAACGTGTGATCTACCTATACGTTTTCGCATGCAACATATTCGATAATATTATTACTCTACGGCGGAAAAAAAAAAAAATTAAGGAGAAAATAAACTAGGGGTAATCGTACACGTACACACATGTAATGGAACAATATATTAGTGCTAACGTGATATGCAAATCGGAGTGTTAACGTACACTATCACCTATCTACGGATCGCATTAGGTGTACACGGTCGTGTGGACATCAGCGAAAACGCACTACAAGGCGGATAATATTTTCATTTCATGTATTTTTGAACATGATCTACGGACATACGTAGACAATACAGTTGCACCGCGCGTGTTACAATGCTGGTGCGGAGCAATTATTACCAACACACGATGTCGTTATGGCGCGCGAGCAACGCGACAAAGATTTACATAAGCGTAACGATAGTGAATATCGTTAATTTTTTGTAACGATGAATGATGAGAACAAAAGGGATGCAAACGTAAATTCACCGCGGTGACAGTTGGTCGCAGACGGTCGGTCGTACGACTCGGCGGTAAACCCGTCGTTTACCAGGTCCGTACGGCAATGTGGTGCCGTGGCGGCGAACCGACCGCGATCCGTCTTTACGCGACGGGGCGGATAAAAATTAAAAACCGAAAACGGAAAACGGTCGATCACGTGCGGTACCGCAGTGGTGACCGTTTCGCACACGTATCCACCGGCGGTGAAAACGGTTAACGATCGGGTTGGAAACAAAAAAAAAAAAAAAATTAATTAAAACTAAATTATCAAAAATAAACATCCACGGCGTGCGCCGAGTCTGTCTTACCTGCGAGTAACGCGTATCGGAACGTGTTGCGGACGAACATTGTGCGGCCGCGTGTTTCGGTGGAAGGGTGAGAGCTGTTGTACGACCGCTGCGGCTCAGGTACCGGTGCGGACTGCGTTCGTCGACTGACTACGGCGGATACGGCGCGCGGCTCGGCGGTCGACGACCGAAACGGCTTGCGGTGCGCGCGCCGCGGTCCATGCGCGCGCCAGCGTTTGTCGTCGATCGAACGGCGGCGGCGTCTCCGTGGTGCTGCCGGCGAATACTGTCGCGCGCGTCGTTCGTTGATTTTTTTTCCATTTCTTTTGTTCGTTTTCTTTTTTAAATTTTTCCGTCGCCGGCTCATCGTTCGCCCGGACGGGTGACGAGCGGCGGGTGCACGGATCGCGGTCC